AAAACACTGTCAAAAGCCCTGTCCATGGGGGGCTCTGCCCTGTGGCCACACCAGGAGGAGTAGAAATGAAGCTCTGCCCTTTCTTGGTGGGCTCTTTTTATGAATTCCCATGACAAAGCTGGGCTCTGCCCATGCTGGGCAGGGTGGGACACTCAGCTCCCTATTTTCCTGTATCCCTTAGGTGTGGGCAGTCCCAACTCCACTATACAGGGAAGAGCTAGAACATATTCTGTGCCTCCATTTTCATAATCTGAATGGTTGTGGGTAACCCAGAGATCAGTTTTGGAGTGAGGAGATGCCGGTGATGTTGACAGTCAGACATGTTTCCCTGCAGACTGGTATGTCCTGCAGAGAATAAACTGGCCCTAGGGCAGGGAACCAGTCCCAAAACATCCCCTGTGCTCTGAGGGTGGCTGAGGCTGCCACTGGCACCAGTGCCTGTCCCCAGGAGCCACCCAGGAGCACTTTCCCTGGGATAAAAGAGGATGTGCACAAGCTGCATGAGCAGGAAGCACAGCTGTGAGACTGCTCTGCTAGACTGGAAAAGGAAAATCTGTTATAAAACAGGCACCCAAGGCATGAGCTTGCTTTTCCAGAGGCTGTGAAAACCAGAGGGTCTGGGACTGAGAGCAAAGGAGATGCCTGCAAGAGGAGGAGGCGTGGTAACACCTGGAAAGCTTCAGAGATTGTTCCTCGGGGCTCATGGAGTCTTACCTGGCATGGCTGTGACTGGGAGGGGAAGGGAGCAGGGCTGGGGCATTGAGCCAGGGGTTCCCAGCTGGCCAAAAACCTCGTGCAGGTGGGCACAGAAAGGGTAACACAGGCACCAGGAATCCCAGTCCCACCGAGCTGGGGAGCTGGCTGAGAGCTGGGGCTGGCTGCTGCCCACACCTGGATGGTGCCTTCAGCAGTGGGATCACAAAATGGTCTGGGGTGGAGCATTAAAGACCATCCAGTTCCAACCCTGGTGACAGCTCTGAGCCTTGCCTGGGTGGCAGCAGTGTGGTGTTCAGGTGCTTTGCAGCACCAAGTCCCTGCCTTTCCCATCCCTCCTCCTGGGAAGGGCTCAGCTCATGCAGCAGGAGCTGCTCCTCATCCTCACACGTCCCGTGCTGCTCACAACAGGGCCCTCTTGCCTCACTTTTACTAAACATAAGCCAACTCCCAGCCTCCACAGCTGCTGCCAGTGCATCTCCCAGCACTTTTGGGAGTTTCCCTGAGCCCCGTGGTGTTTTGAAGCCATCCCCAGGAGCTGTTGGGTGACTCACCAGAGGGATGTGAAGGCAGCACAGGTGCTGCCCAGCTGAGGCTCCCACTGGGATGGCATGAAGAAAAAATGCCATGGGCACATAGGGGCTCACAGGCTTGATTATTGCTCCATAGACCCTCAAGTGCTCTCACCCAGTACCTGAACTACAGCCCTTCAATAATTACCGTTCATCTCCCTCCCCAGGATCTCAGGAAAACAGACCCAGCTCCAGCCCTGGTTACCTGGAGATGCTCAAAGCAGATTCAGGTACATGGAGTATTGAACCCAGACACAAATTCACCCCAAATCTGTCAAGTTAAAGTTTAAAATAGTGTGTGTTCAGGGTGAGTGTGTTCTGGGAGAGGAGCAGCGCCGTTTCTCCAGGGCACCTTCTCCATCCCAGGATCATTGCTGGCAGCCAGCAGCTGAGGAGGAGTGGACAGGTGAGGGACAGTGATGAGCTCAGGGTGGTGTGGGGTGTGCAAGCTCAGCTCCACTGGTCTGTGCCCATGGTGTGGCCTGACAGCAGTGCCCTCCCCTATGACGGCTGTTTACAGAGCTGGACGGGATCCCTGGGGCCCTCGTGTCCACGTCCCTCTGGCTGCAGGACACCAGGGTTCTACGAGGTCAGACCCTTCCCCCAGCTGCATCCATGAGCTGGGGACCTCCAGGAAAAAGCCATGAGCTGGGAACCTCCAGGAAAAAGGCACTGGTGGGATGTTGCTGGCAGGTTTGGTGGTTGGTGGGAACAGCAGGCGAGGTGGCCTCGTGCTCGGGGTTGCTGGTCCCGGCGGTGCTCCGAGTGCAGAGTCAGCTGGATTTTGGCAGCTCTGAGCCCTGGTCCCTCACTGCCCACAGTCCTGGCCCCAGGGAGGCTGGGAGAAGGTGGCATGCTCACGTCTGAATACAACATGTTCCCCAGGCATGTTTGTTAACATAGTCACAAATAAATATTTTGCAAGATTTTTGCCAGGAGGATGGGCTTAATGTGTGCAGAGCCTTGAAGGACAGGAGAAAGCCAGGGCAGCCTATCATGTGGGCTCTGCTCTGGCCTCCCCAGCACTGCTGGAGCAAGAGAAGTTATTTCTCTCTGGGGAGTGCATTACTCAAGTCCCTGTGCACTAATTGAGAAGCAAATCCCATTAATCCAACCTGGAGGGAAATAATATCACAGTGCTGGGGGAGAATGGAAGGGCCAGCAAAACCCACCAGGAACCCCCTGTCCTTACCACTGTCACATCTGCCCCCACTCTGCTCCCCAAAACAGGCTCTGGCTTCAGAGTGAGCAAAAGAAAAAGGCAAAGTCATGTTCCAGCTCCTTGGGGGATTTCAGGCTTTCGGGGCAGGATGAGCAATGTCAGCCCTGGGAGAGCTGTGGGCTCCCAGGGGGAAGCAGGGCCAGAGCTGAGCAGGGGAAGGAGGGATGCCTGGGCTGTCAGGGGCCTTCAGCATGTGATTTTTCCAGGGATATTTTCTATATGGACCCTATAAGTGCCTAGTTCATCTTCTAACCCACAAGTCATTCATGTTTTTGCCCATCCCATTCTCTGCCCCATCCAGCTGGAGAGACAGCAAGTGGCTGGGAGGAGGCTCAGCAGCCGGTGGAGGCCACCCCAGAACATTTCCCCATCCCTGGAAATGTCCCAGGCCAGGTTGGATGGCACTTGGAGCAACCTGGGATAGTGGAAGGTGTCCCTGCCCATGGGTTGCAATGAGATGGTTTTTCAGATCCCTTCCAGCCCAAACCATTCCATGATTCTCTGATTTTCCTGGCGGCCGTGGCTGCCCCTCGGTACCCCTGGTGTGTGTCTCTCTGTGCCTCTGGGCTGCAGCGCCCAGCGGGAGGGACACAGAGGGCATTGCAGCCTGGGCTGGGATAACCGGGAGGGCTGGAAGAAAGGCTGGCACATGGTGCTGAGAGCAGGCTGGCAGCTCCACACGCGATCACACAGTCCCCTCTAGTGGATATTCCTCTTCCATCCACATCCCATCCTCACGGATGTCCTGCCCGCACTGCCTTGGCTCCAAAGCCAGGTCCCAGCAGTGACCCTGGAGCACCATCCTGCTTCACTCCTGAAACTGGGCACGGTGGCAGAGCAAAGCCCATCCAGCTGCCTCCAGCTGCTCCATCGCTTCCTCCGCTCCTTCCCCTCCTGCGTGTCCGGGTGACTCATCCTCCCTCCAGCCCCGTCCCCTGCCCTGCCTCTGTCCCGCACCACCCGCTGCCCTTGCGTCAGGGCTGGCCCCGGCTGGCCCCTGCCTTCCTGGCTCTCCCTCCGCTGGGATTTCACACTGCTCCGAGTCATTTGGGCAGTGGCCAACATGAGCCCGAGCTAATGAGCACCCGAGCTAATAAGAATCCGAGCTAATGAGCACCCACTAGCGGCTGCTTCCAGGATCCAGGGGCCAGCATCACTTGTTCCTACCCTGCCAGGGCCTGCTGCCTTGGGCCAGCTCGGACTGGGGAGAAGTGGGATGCTCTCAGGTGGGAATCCCCTGAGGGGTGAGTGTTTGAACATTTGTCCAGCAGCTCCTGCCCATGGGAAGGGTGCAAAGGCTCCCACCAGCACCTTGAGCACTGCCCTGTGCCCTGTGTACCATCTCCTCTCTACCTCTGCCTGCTTTGGAAACTGCTTATCACCTGGAATTTATGTGATATCTGCAACCTGAGGCTTTTCAAGGGAAAAAAAGCCACATAGGAGAGCATGGAAGAACAGACACAGCTGCAGACCAGGAGGTCATCATGCTCCATCAGGATGCAGCCCCTCCAACTTGCCCCATCTTGTACTGGAAACATGACCCTGGTCCCAGTGCCACCATCCAGCAGCCCCAGCTCAGGCAGAGCTGATGCCAAACCATCCCTGGGCCAGGGAAGGACGGGGTCTCCTCTGGGGAGCCGGGACTTCCAGTGCAGGGCGAGGGCAGTGGGGATGGAGGAGGAGCTGTGGCCCAACACTTGCTGCCAGGAAGCCCCAAAAAGCACCTGGAAGGGCAGAGAGGTGCTTATTGCTAAACCAGACCTGGAACAGCTTTATGGGTGCCACAGCAGCACCCTGGGGAGGTGCACACCCAGTTCTGTTTGAGCTGGCAGCTGAATTACCTTGTCCCCATGCTGGCCAGGATCCCTTGGTGTCCCAGCTCCAGCAGGACTACAGATGTGACCCTGGTAACCCCTTGTGTCCCATCCTGGAGTCACACCAGTACAAGGAGCACACAGTCAGGTTCTGTCCTGATTTTCCCAGCCCTGCTGGGTTGGTCCCAGAGTCCTCCCTGGCTCTGATCCCTGTGTCCAGTTGGGCTATGGCATTGCTCACAGCATGCAGGTTCTGGTCAGGCACAGGGACTCTCATGAACCCTGGTAACCTCTTGTGTCCCATCCTGGAGCCACACCAGTACAAGGAGCACACAGTCAGGTTCTGTCCTGATTTTCCCAGCCCTGCTGGGTTGGTCCCACAGTCCTCCCTGGCTCTGATCCCTGTGTCCAGTTGGGCTATGGCATTGCTCACAGCACGCAGGTTCTGGTCAGGCACAGGGACTCTCATGACACAGCTCCACAGTGGGCAGGGAGTCCACGGACACCTCACAGGAGTGTCTGGATGTGGAGCAGCCAGCAGTGATGGATAAGGCATAAAATCCCAGGGAGAGGCAGCCCATGGCAGTCCCAGCCCCTTTTATAGCTTCTGCTCTGTGGCCCAACAGGACACACACTTCACAGCTTTATTTATTATACAAGATCTTTAGGACAATGAACTCTACCCTGCACTTGGCTTTATTTCTGCCCACAGGGACTGTGTCTAACAGGCTGATGGCACTGCCAGGGCAGCAGGGCTGGTTCCAGGTTTTCTGGACAAGGGGACATTCCCAAACCTGGAGGTGAAATGCCCCCCACCCCTTTTCCCAGAGCGATGGCTGGGAAGCTGCAAACCCCAAACCCCATTTTTAGGCAGCTGGATGCCAAACAACCCAGTGTTTATTGCAGTGCTCCTCATTTGCCTCAGGTTTATAGATGTACATTCAAAAACAAAAGCTCTGTGTATCTCAGCTGGACACAGACAGGCTTGAAGGACCAACGGGCCAGATCCATCAGCCCTGGAGTCACCTCCTGGTCCTGAGTGTGGGAGCAAACAGTGCAGCTACCAGCTCAGGCTCTCTGTACATGGAGCTGGAGCCTCAGGCATGAGAAACTCCAGCTCTGCTTTCAAGTATATTTTATGTGGTGTATTTATCTCTGGCATCACATCTCACCACGGGGAAAAGTCCTGCTGGCCCCAGAGAGCCACATCCCTCGGGTCTGCCCCGGCCTCGGGGGAAGATGACAGATTTGGGCAGCTGCTGGAGAGATGTGCCAGCTCATTTTGGCTCAATAAGCAGGGAGAAGGCTCTGGGGAGCTCAGGCAGCTCATATTTACATGGTACCATTAGAAAAAAAAACAGCTTGGACCCCATGAGGTCACCCTGGCTGCACAGAGGGGCCAACAGCTGGTGGAGGGCTGGTGGAACCAGGGGTTTCCTGATGTTCAGCAGCTGCAGCAGCTGCCCATGGTGCTCCCACACTGTCCCACTTCCCAGCCTGCAAACCCCCCAGCCAGCTCTTGGCCAGAGGGCTGCACCTCAGGCAGCTGCACATCTTAAATAAACCCCTCCAAACCAAACCCACCGCCTAGAGAAGCACACAGTGGTTTAAACAGGAAAGAAAAATTAAAAAAAAAAAAAAAAAAGAAAGAAAGAAAAAAAAGATGCTTGTGGTATGTAAGTTCTACTGCCCTGGGCTAACCATGCTGACTTTGTAAACTCCCCCCATCCCCAGAAACAGGGCAAGCCCCAAGTCAACACAGGCCCCATCCCTGGCCCGCAGCACCCAGGGAAGGCACAGGTTCCAAAGCACCAACTCCAGAACCCCTCCAGGCCCTGGGTACAGGAGGGGTCTGGCTGCCACTGCTGAATTACATTATTTGTTGGTTATATAGCTTCAAGTTCATGTCCTTTCGTTGATGGGGGTCCACAGGAGAGCAGAGAGGCAAAGCAAAGGTGTGAGCACAGGGTGCAGGGTGGCAAATCCCAGCCAAGCCCTGGCTACCACCTCTGCCTGTGGGGTTACGTGTCCAAGTGAGGAATTTTACTGCTGCAGCCAGCAAGTCCTTGGGCCAGGAGGGCAGTGGGATCCTGGACAGAGTGGGGACACACAGCAGTGGGGGCTGATGGCCTCTGTGGTGTCAGCAGTGACACACCCAGCTCACCCTGGGGCTCGGCCTGCGGTGGCCCAGCACCAGCTCCCACTGGGGACAGCCAGGCTGTGGCTGCCCTGTGGCAGTGCCACAGGCAGGGAGGGGATGCCAGGCTCTCCCAGCAGCTGGGATGTCTCTCTGAGGCCAAGGCTAGGAGCAGCAGCAGCAGCAGCTTTCTCCTGTCAGGTTGCTGAAGTTCAAGGCTGGACTGCTGTGGGCTCAGAGAAGCAAAAATGAGACAAACAAGGGAAGAAGAGGCTGTGGGCACAGCTGTGCCAAAACCATCCCTCTTGGAGCTGCCCTTTGGTCTAAACCCTCCCTTTTTGGGGGCCAACTGCAGCTTCCCAGCAGCGCTGGCTGCTCCCAGAGCTCAGCAGCCCCTGCACTGTCCCCTGGCAGAGGGGGCTGGTCCAGCTGTGTGTGCTGTGAGCCCTTTGCACCAGCCAGGCACTGAACACCTCTCTGCAGGGGCCCAGAGCCAGGGGAGTGGGGCTGGCAGCATGCTCTGTTCCCAGACATCCAGAGCTGGGACTGTGGTGGAGGTGCAGAACAAACTATCCTGGGCACCTCTCATGGGCTCCCATGCTGCTTTTGGCCAGGGTAGAGTTAATTTTTTTCACAGCAGCTCGTATGGGGCTCTATTTTCTGTGAAGAACATTAACTCTACCCTGGCTGAAACCAGCACAGCTCCCCAGCCTTTAACAGCAACATCCTCCCAACATCTTCCCTTGCAGTGTGTGAGAACTGCAGACAGCATCCATGGACGTGCTTGTGACAATTCCCAGTGCAGGGAGCAGCCCCTGTCTGCTCTCCCTGCCCTTCCAGCCACCCCTCTCCCCAGATCCAGGCACTGCCAGGGGGAGAGATCTCCTGAGGCAGCCCCTTGGGAAGAAACCTTGCAAGGACTAAACAAACCACACACATGATCCCTGACCATGACGTGGAGGGGAGGATGCAGAGCTGGTCTGTACCCTGCAGTGCACCAGGCAAGGGCAGTGACACGCTGAGGGTGACCTTGCCCAGGCTGTGGGGGGTGCAGATGCAGCACAGAGACCCCAGGAGCCAGTGGGAAATGCCCCCCATCCAGGCTGTCAGGTCCACAGGCACAATCCTGCTGTTGCTCCCTCGTGGCAGGGCTGGGGTCTCTTTTTCAAGTCCAGGTGACTGCGGCGCTTCAGCTCACCCTCCTCTTCCTCTCTGCAGCAGAGACAGCGTCTGTCTGTCTGTCTGTCTGTGGTTCTGGCCTTCAGCAGGACTCCACAGGGACACAGGCAGGCGGCTGCAGCCCCAGGTGGCCGTGGGGGCTGGTGTTTAGGTGGCCTGGCCGGGTGGGAGGCGTTTGCTGTCCAGAATGGCCTTCCAGTCATCAGACCAGGAGTGCAGCCGGCGGCTGGGGGGCTTCAGCTGCAGGTGCTTGTTGTGGCAGGCAGTGAAGAGCACGTGCTCCCAGGTGGGGTTCTGCTCTGCCCCTGCAGGGGAAGGAAGGTCAGTGGTCTGGATAACTCCATTGAGACACTGAGGTTGATTTTACTTCAACATGAAGACCCCAAAGTTACAAAACCCAAACAGCACAGAAAGACCAACACCATCCCTGGCTGCCCCCAGTCAGTGCTTCACCCTCAGCCCTTACCTGTTATATCAGGTCTGTCGTCTATAAGCAGATCAGCAGAAACCACTGTTTTATCTCGTGTCAAAACAATCTGCTCAAGAAATTCAGGGCCAAAGTGCTTCTCCACCCAGGCATACTGGAAGGCAAGGGATGGCTAGTGAGCTCAGGGAAGGCTGATGGATGGGGCAGGGGGTGCTTGGAGGGGTGGAAGCAGCCCTGGCCCCCACACAGGGAGGATATCTCTCTTAGTAAGTTCATTAGTGGGATGGATTTGGATGCTGCTGGAGTAAAAGTTCTTTGAAAGCCAAGCAGCTTTTGATGTCATGATGAAAGACTAAGACCAAGAGCCTCAGTGCATGCAAATGGATGGAACAGGTAAATTTTACAGCCAGAGGCATGCAGGGGTCAGACACCTTTCACTGGGCAGTGTGGATGGAGGGGGAGCTGAGATTTGGGCCTGCTCACCTTCTCATAAGGGCAGTACCGGTACTTCTTGATTGGGCTCGTGCAGATGAACACATCAGTGCTGCCACGAGGAGAAAAACAGGGGCAGAGTGTCATTCTGGGCCAGAGCAGGCAGCAGCCCAAAGCAAACCCCCCACCACACACAGATCCAACAGATTTAAGACATTAATCCCCCATCTCACAGAATCCCACAGCACAATCGTATTCCACTTTTCACAACCCTTGCTGGGAGCAGAGAGCTGAAGGGAAGAGGCTGCACATGGCTGATGCTCTAGGTGACTGCTCCAGGAGTCAAAGCCCTCTCTCCCCTCCCTTCCCTGATGGCTGGCAGATATTTATTTTTAATGCTGTTGTTGTATCAGCACTTCTGCCAAGAGGTGGAAGTGAAGACACAGCTGCTCCTCTGTCCATCCCCACACGCAGGTCCATACTCACTCTGCCAGATTTGCCATTTGCTTCACAGCTTCCACAGCCCCAGGGAGAGGGTCCAGCTCGATGAAGAAGTTCTTGGATTCCCAGATGCTGATGGCTTTCTCCTGTGAGGGGAAAGCAAGCAGTTACTGCACTTCTTGCAATTTTTCCTGCATGTGCATGCTCCTCACTCTTTGCTAGGACAGAGGATGGGACAGGGAGAACAGTGGGAGCACCAGCTCCAGTCCCTCCTGCTCACCCCCCTCCCTCTGTGGGTGCCTCTGCTCCCCACCCAGCAAACTGCAGCCACCCCATACAATTCAGATTGCTCAGGAACAAAATAACAGGCTTGCTTTTGCCTCTGCAGCCCCACACACAGAGGGAGCTGCACCTTCCTGTAAGGCCAAACACCAGAGATTATCCAGATCCAAACCAAACCCATGCAAAGGGACAGATCCACGTGGATCCAGCTGACATGGCCTGGTGGCCCTGCTCTACCATGGTGCTGTTCAGGCACAGGTGCTGTCTGGCCTATTTGTCTCCATGAGATCACTTAAAATAGCAGCCAGGCTGCTCTCCCAGGAGAAGGTACATTACAGGAGGAACCACGTCAGGATGAATGCAGATGCTCCTCCTCAGGGAAGCCTGGACAAGGCCTAGCAGGCAAATAGAGCATCTCCAGGCAAGGATTTGAAACACAACATCCAGGACAGCAGCCTGGGTGCACTGGTATGGCACAGGGAGAACAGAGAGGAGATCACAGGGAGCAAAGCCTTGGGGTGAGGGCAGAGTCCAGGGGCTGCCTGCAATGGGTCCAGCACAGCTCTAAGGAACAGCAGCCCCTGCACTGCCTCAAACAGGTTTACAGCTTGTCAGGTGCCAAGGAAAGCAATTATTTTGCACAAACACTGTGTCCTCAGGGAGGAGAGCTGGGAGGAAGCAGAAGCAGCCCAGCCCCAGTGTTGTGGTGCAGCTGAGGAGCTGCAGATGCAGAAATGCCTCCAGGCTCCATGGCAAGGACAACCAGCCTGAAAGTTTGCCATGCAAACATTCAAACTCCAATTGATCTGCCTCAGACTGAGCAGCAATGGTATTTTATTTTTAAGATATTGTCTGTAGTTGCACAAGAGACCCCTGAGAAATGCAGCCTCGTGCAGCAGAGCACTTCAAACTGCACTGAAGTGTTTGCTTACAGCAGCACTTCCACAGCTATCCCGCTTCCAACTGTGTCAAAAAAGCATTTTGCAATCAAGCTCAGCTTGAGGAAAAGACCCAGTCCACTCCCAGAGCCAGAAAAATTCCCTGTGGCACCATGACCAGCATGCTGACCAGCAGATGGAAAAATCCCCCAGGCTGGGAATCCCACCATGGGCCAGGACAGACCCTCAACCCCTTAAGGAATCTCCCTGCCTGTCCAGGGCTCTCATCCCTCCAGGTGAGGCTCTCCCTTTCAGAGCTGGGACCTGCAGCTCGTCGGACTCTTTGGCTCCTGTTTTCTGGTCCCTGAAGCAGGTCAGTGGGGCTCTCTGGTCAGAGCCTGGAATGGCCCACGTGTCTGTAGCCACAGAGCAGCTCCTACTCACTTCAGCCCTGCCCTGAAACCACGGGGAAAACCAGGCCTGCCCTGAGGTCAGACAGTGCAAGTTGTTCAGCCCAAGGTTTTGGTGGTTTTACATGATCACAGCAGACACAAGACGAGCTCACTTCATTGAACACATTCAAAGTAGTTACGATCAAGGAAGAAAAAAACTGTTATCATGTCTTACCCCTGCCAAGCAGGGGTCTGAGCAGCTGCTTTACTGCACAAATGATGTCCTGCTCTTCCCTCTCACCACTCCCAGCCAGGAAGGACAACTTATTCCTTCAGCTCATCAAGTTGTTTAGGACTTTGCCCATGGGAGAGCCCTGGACCTTATTCCCACTCCTTTTCCTGTAACCATCATACTCCTAACAACATAAACACTTTTATTTACCATAACACATTTCAGCCAGTGCAACTGCAATCCATGGATGAGACCACAGACACCCACTGGGATGGGAAATTTGTAGAGGCAGAAACCACATCTCTACAGCAGTCAGCCTGTTGCTGAATGCTAAATTACGACATCAAGAGAGGTTCTGCTTTTAAGCTTTAATTATTAAACTGAATACAATAATTTCTGGCATGGGAGGGCTTGGGTTATTTTAATTTTAAGTAAGCCTTCAAATGAAGCATCAATTGCATGGTTTGTTCTAACTGCTCTGCTGCATCCCACCGCTCACATTGCTCTTGAGGAGCTAAATAATCCATCTAGGAATGGTACCAATCCAAATCGGAGCTAGAAAAACCCAGCTACACAATCTGGGGTATTTCAAGACAGATGTTCTGAAATATCCCCTTTCCTTGCATCTGTCTCCATCCAGGCATGCAGAGAAAAAGCCCACTAGGCCATCATATCAGCCTGGTCTAGTGGAAGATGTCCCTCCCCATGACAGGAGGTTGGAATGAGATGGTCTTTCAGGTCCTTATCAGCCCAACCCATTCTAGAATTCTAAGAAACACACAGACATGCACACACAAAAAAAAATAGATTTCTGGGGAAAACCCATTGCTGGATGCCCTCCTGTGCTCCTGTGGGAGCTTTTTGGTGGCCCCCACAGCCCTCCCCACACGACCTGGGGGTCAGAGGGTCCCGGGGGGGGACAAGCACAACTCACACTCAGCTCGGGTCCCAGGCGCCCGTACTGCTCCGACACCCAGAAGCCCCTCCGGTCCTCCAGGGCAATGTAGGGCTTGTCGGGGTACCTGGCCCTGAATTTCTTCAGGAAGCCTCCCTCGAAGTCAGCCAGCACCCCGTCCATGTCCACCAGCACCCGCAGAGCCCGGCGGGACCCCGCTGAGGGGCCCAGCCCCCTGCCCAGCCCGGCCAAGGCGCCGCAGCGCCGCGGCCGCAGGTGCAGGAAGCAGCTCAGCAAAATCATTGTGGAGAGGGATTTGGGGAAAGAGATGGGGGATTTGGGGCAGGGGATGGGGGATTTGGGGCAGGGAATGGGAGGCTCGGGGAAGCAGGGTCAGGGCAGGGGATGGGGGTTTGGGGCAGCGAATGGGGGCTCAAGGAAAGGGATGGGGGATTTGAACAAGGGGATGGGGGCTCAGATTAGGGGGCTAGGGAAGGGGATGGGGGCTTGGAGCAGGGGAAGGGGACTTGAGGAAGGGGATAGAGGGCTTGGGACAGGGGATGGAGCCTTGGAGCAGGGGAAGGGGGCTCAGGGAAGAGGATAGAGGCTTGAGAAAGGAACTGGGGAGCTTGAGGAAGGGAATGGAGCTTGGAGCAGGGGAAGAGGGCTCGAGAAAGGGGAGAAAAAGCCCACTAGGCCATCATATCAGCCTGGTCTAGTGGAAGATGTCCCTCCCCATGACAGGAGGTTGGAATGAGATGGTCTTTCAGGTCCTTATCAGCCCAACCCATTCTAGAATTCTAAGAAACACACAGACATGCACACACAAAAAAAAATAGATTTCTGGGGAAAACCCACTGCTGGATGCCCTCCTGTGCTCCTGTGGGAGCTTTTTGGTGGCCCCCACAGCCCTCCCCACACGACCTGGGGGTCAGAGGGTCCCAGGGGGGGACAAGCACAACTCACACTCAGCTCGGGTCCCAGGCGCCCGTACTGCTCCGACACCCAGAAGCCCCTCCGGTCCTCCAGGGCAATGTAGGGCTTGTCGGGGTACCTGGCCCTGAATTTCTTCAGGAAGCCTCCCTCGAAGTCAGCCAGCACCCCGTCCATGTCCACCAGCACCCGCAGAGCCCGGCGGGACCCCGCTGAGGGGCCCAGCCCCCTGCCCAGCCCGGCCAAGGCGCCGCAGCGCCGCGGCCGCAGGTGCAGGAAGCAGCTCAGCAAAATCATTGTGGAGAGGGATTTGGGGAAAGAGATGGGGGATTTGGGGCAGGGGATGGGGGATTTGGGGCAGGGAATGGGAGGCTCAGGGAAGCAGGGTCAGGGCAGGGGATGGGGGTTTGGGGCAGCGAATGGGGGCTCAAGGAAAGGGATGGGGGATTTGAACAAGGGGATGGGGGCTCAGAGTAGGGGGCTAGGGAAGGGGATGGGGGCTTGGAGCAGGGGAAGGGGACTTGAGGAAGGGGATAGAGGGCTTGGGACAGGGGATGGAGCCTTGGAGCAGGGGAAGGGGGCTCAGGGAAGAGGATAGAGGCTTGAGAAAGGAACTGGGGAGCTTGAGGAAGGGAATGGAGCTTGGAGCAGGGGAAGAGGGCTCGAGAAAGGGGACAGAGAGTTGGGACAGGGGATGGAGCCTTGGAGCAAGGAAGGGGGCTCAGGAAAGGGGATAGGGGCTTGAGGAAGGGACTGGGGAGCTTGAGGAAGTGGATGGGGCTTGGAGCAGGGGAAGTGGGCTCAGGGAATGGGATAGGAGCTTGAGGAAGGGACTGGGCAGCTTGAGGAAGTGGATGGAGCTTGGAGCAGGGGAAGGGGACCCGAGGAAGCAGACGGGGGGCTCGGAGCAGGGGATCGAGGGCTCAGAGCAGGGCTGGGGGGGCTCTCCAAGCAAAGCGGGGTGCCTCGATTTCAAGCACGCAGCGAGGCAGCGAGCAGCCGTGGCAAGCTGCAGCCGGAGGCAGGAGCGGCCGGGGGGTGCCGGGGGAGCCGAGCGGCTGCCGGGGATGCAAAAGCCCGTCCTGGCCCCCAGCGCGTCCTCGCCCTGCCCGCCCCATCCCTCCCCGGCAGCGGGGCCGGTGGCCGGCGCCGAGCTCGCCCCGACCCGGCAGTGCAAAGCCCAGTTCCTCTTCCCGGTGCCTGCCGAGCCCGGAGCGCCGGCACCGCCTTAAAGCGGCACAAGCGCCCTGCGACAGCGCAGCGGCTCCGCCGCCAGCCCGCCCTAAAGGTGCCCCGCTGCCCTTGCCCTGCCTCCCTCCCTGCCTCAGTTTCCCTCGCTGGATTCTTTGGGATGCCCAGTCCCTCGGCATTCGGGTCCCTGCCTGCAGGGGTGGTGGGTATATTTGGGGACACACGTAAAAAATGGTGATTTTCTGCATGAAACGCACTCGTTTCTGGCAGTTTTTGCGTCCTGTGACAGCTCTGTCCCCACGTGTGACAGGAGCCCTTAAAAGCCAATCCCCGGACCCGAAAGAAGCAGCACTGCACCAAGGAGGGATCGGTTTTCTGAGCAGACTCCAAAGATCTGTTCAAAAAACACTTCGGGTGTTAAAACTGACGAAGAAGAGGGAGTTCTCCAAGTGGTTCTGACAGGATTAGGCAACCACTGAGCTGGGAAATAAAAGTTTCTGCTCGACAGCAAGAATAAGGTTCCAAAATATTTAATTTTTCAGGCCCAGAATGTTTTCAAGTGGAATGTAGTGTCCCTGTTCCACAGAGAGGGCAAATTTGTTGTTGGGATCGGGTGAGGAAGGAAGGAAGGGAGGAAGGAAGGGAGGGAGGAAGGGAGGAAGGGAGGATTGTCGTTGTTCCACAGAGAGGGCAAATTTGCTGTTGGGATCGGGTGACCTGGGGAAGGTCAAGGAAGGAAGGAAGGTCAAGGAAGGAAGGAAGGAAGGAACTGGCTGGACACCACGGTGATCTCAGCTGGGGCTGGGAGGGGAATGTGTCAAGGTCAAGTCTGTGTTTTGCTTTCACTTGCACCGCAGGCGTTTTTCTTCCTGCAAGGAATGGGATTTCGACACAGCTGGGTGTTCCTGACTAAGCAGGGAGGGAATTCATGCAAATTTATGGCTCCCCAGGGCAGTGGTCAGGGCACGGAGCCTGGCAGAGTTCGAGGAGCATTTGGAGAACGCTCCCCGGCACACGGTGGGATTTCGGGCTTGTCCTGTGCAGGGCCAGGAGCTGCACTGGATGATCCCTGTGGGTCCCTTCCAGCTCTGGATATTTCAAAATTCTGTCATCTCCACTCAGGCTTCCATCATCTTCACTGAACCACCGACACATTCCCGGCCTGCCACAGCTCCCGAGGGAGGGAAAATACAAACCCACCTATTAACCCGAGCGATTCCAATCCCACTCCCTGACAGCAGAGCACACGCTGCACGCCACGAGGCCCCGGCTGAGGGGACAAAAGGGATTTAAACCTCTGCTGGCGCAGCGCAGCCATTCGGGTGGGCTTCACCGCCCGCCCCGCGGGCAGCGGGAGGGACCGGCCACCCGTGTCGGGCAGGGCCCGGGGTCACGGATGGCCCGGTGTCGCGGGGGTCCCTCATCACAGGGGCCCTCGTGTCGCGGGGGCCGCATGTCGCCGGGGTCCCGGTGTCGCCGCAGGCCTCGTGTCGCGGAGCGCTGACGCGCCGTGACGTCACCCCCGTCCCCGTCCCCCCCGCCCCTCCGGCGCTGCTGAGTCACGGCCCCTCCCGCGCGCCTGACGCGGGCCCGGCGGTTGCCACGGCGACCGCGCTTCTCGCGAGACTCGGCGCGCGCGGCCGCGGCGCGAGCCGCCAAGATGGCGTCGGCCCTGGAGCAGTTCGTCAACAGCGTCCGGCAGCTCTCGGCCCAGGGTGAGGGGGACGGGGCCGGCCGGGGGCACCGGGAGGACGGGGCGGGCCCGCGGGGCCGAGGGAGGACGGCGAAGAGCGAAGGAGCTCGTCAAACCGCGCGGGAGGCGGGGCGGCGGGCCGGGGCCTGCCCGCTCTCTCGCACGGCGCTCCCTCAGGCGCGGGTCCGGGGCGCTGCACCCCCGGGGCGGCGCGGCCCGTGCCGGGGTTAGTTCGGGGCGGCCCCCAAGGAATCCCGGCCGTGTGAGGGGCCGGCGATGCTCTCCCAGAGCTCCGTGGGTCTCCCGGGGGTGGTTTCGGTAGCGGAGCCCGCGCCGGTGATCCTGCCAAAATGTGAGCCTTTAAAAGAGGGGGAGGAGCGAGCATCGCTAGGGCTTTAAATGGGATGGTGCGGCGCAGCCTGTCACCTCCCTGATGAACGGGCAGGTTGTGATAAGTGTGGTTTAAAATATATTTCTGAATTGTCCAAGTGTCCGTGCTCTACATTTGCAAGCAGAGCATGGACAGAGTCCCGCCCCACCACAAACTGTGACAGATCTGAGACTGTACCCACGTGTCCACAAAGGGTTTTAATAATCACGGTTAGAATTCCTCCGTTTCACTGCCAAGCTCCTAATTTTACTGTGTGTGGGCGCAGCGTTTCCTGGTTCTTGAACTTTCCCTCTGTGTTGATGCTCTGTGAATTGTGTTCTGACTGGTCTCTGCCTGGGATGTTTCCTCCCAGAAGCTGATCAAAAATTGACGTTTCCCACCACGGCCCCAGGTTTTATCTCTTGCAGTTCTTGGGTTGAGCTCCAACTTTCTCTTACTCTGGTTACACTTAATAAATACAAAGTATTTCTACTTTAGAGACAATTTCTACCTGCAGGGTGTGGGTACAAACCAGATGGAAGATGGATCTTTGTACTCCTGTAGTTGAGCTGGAGAGCTTTCTGTCACAGAGTTTTGGGGTGCAGGAGGCTCAAGGGGAGACTGGTTGTCTTTGTGGAAGTTCTCCCATTAGGGATGAGCCAAGGAGATGCTCTCTGTGAGAAAGTCCGTGCACAGTCAGGGCATGGACTTGTTGGAGCAAGTGCAGATGAGGCCACCAAGGTGATTGGAGGGATGGAGCTTTGAGGAGAGGCTGTGAGGATCTGGATTGTTCAGCCTGGATGAAAGAGAAGGCTCTGGGGTGGCCTAATTGTGACCTTCCAGGATCTGGAGGGAGCTGCAGGAAAGATGAGGAGAAATCATTTATAAGGGCCTGGAGGGACAGGAAAGGGGGAATGGCTTCATAGTAACAAGAGAGTAAGGTTAGATTGGATATTAGGAAAGAATCCTTCCCTGTGAGGGTGGGGAGGCCCTGACACAGAATTCCAGAGAAGCTGTGGCTGCCCCTGGATCCCTGGAAGTGTCCAAAGCCAGGCTGGATGGGGCTTGGAGCCACCTGGGACAGTGGGAGGTGTCCCTGTCCATGGCAGAGGATGGAGTGAGATGATCTCTGAAGTTCCTTCCAAACCAAACCATTCTGGGATTGTGTGAAAGCAAATCCAGAGGCAGCAGCTGCATGTGAGAGCACTCAGGAGCAGTGTGTGTCCTTGTGCTGGTTCCTGGCTGTCACTTGGCCACCTGGGAGGTGACAGAAGGAGACATTTGGTTGGGCCTGGTACTGGAATTTCTGCTTGGACTGTAAATTGTTCAGTGTATGTGTGGGTAGATAGATAGATCACAGAATCCCAGGATGGTTTGGGTTGGAAGAAACCTTAAAGGGCATTTCTTTCCAACCTTTGCCCTGGACAGGGGCACCCTCCACTGGACCAGTTTGCTCAGAATCTGTTTGGGGTTTGGTTTGTTTTGTAGAAGGGGTGGATTTCTGGAACAGGGAGGACACCAGAAGTAGGGTTTTGTGGTGTCTGAGCACCGTGTTCAAAGCACAGAGAGTTTTACAAGCCCCATTCCTTCCCATGCTTATGCCTTTTTTAAATTCCATATGGAGGAGAATGGTTTTGGAGGCGAGTTTCTGGGCTCTGGTCCCCTATTTGGAATTTTTGATCTCTCTGTCACTCCAAAACTAACATTTCATTGCTAGAATTCCCCTGTTTTTCCTTTCTCAAAGGAAAAGGCCAGAGACCTGAGGGTACTGTAAATCTCTCTGAATGGAGGCACTATTCCTCATTTTATGGGGACTTTTGTTAAGGGTGAGAGAACCTCTGTTTTTTCTCTCTAATCTGCAAGGATTGAACATTGAAACAATGCTCTGCTTCAGAAGGACGTGGTTTTAATTCATTCAGTTAATTGTCAGGGAGGAAGAGTTTGAAAGCAGTTCATGGGAATGGATCTGCTTTCTTTACAAAGGTTTTGGGGCTCACCATACCTTCCTCATTCATGCATAGCACACAGCATACAGAATAACATTGTAGTTTTAATTGAACAAAGTAAATTGTAAGGACAGGTTTTTTAATACTTTTGTTGTTGATACTTAATTGTAACTTTAATGTCTACTTCAAAAAAATGCTTATGAGCAGACCTGAAAGTT